TCAGGACTGCGAGCTGGATAATTTTGAAGTCGTACATGTCCAATTTAGTGATTAGGGTACGTAATATGAATATAATAAAGAAAGTGAAGTATTATACTATGAAGCGGCCATTTCTCTTATGAAAATAGCATACAAAATTTCATAAAAATATAACTATTATTTTGGTCATTTCAACCGCAGCAACCCCATTTTCTCCAAAAAACCATGTGATGTGTAATGTAACATTATGTTTCAGTTTGAAGAAATAGCCGTCCACAGTGGAACAATTGAAATGGAATTAATCAAAAAATGAACCTTCTCTGTAAAGAACCGAGATTTTTTCTCTTAGGATGTTGGGAAAAATCAGTTTACTTTGGTTGAATCATAGTGATTCGTAACAGCGCCACCACGTGAAGGAGCAAAATTTTACCTTTTGAATAGATAAAAATTGGTTGTGGACCATAATTAGCATCATGTTAGTTATGAGTGAGGGGTGAATAGAATCGGAAGGGGAGATGGGTTTGGAAGTTTCTAACGTAGGAAGGAATCATTCATAAATTCAAAAAACAATGTAGTAGAGAATATTTATTAATATCTAATAATTTCGTTGAAATGTTCACAATAACATTTTCAGAGTATCGAGACATTCTGCTGCTATCAAAGTTTTTTGAATCTCTATCTCTAAACTTAAAATCTATCAATAATATGAAGTAGTTAGTTGAACATTCAGTAATGAAATACTAAATACATATCTACTTATAATCATCAATATCCATAGCATTTGATGTTTGCGAGATCGAATAGTGACCCCAAGGTAGCGTATCGTGGGAATCTGGAATTATATAACGTTTATTATCTTCAGGGCTGAGAGCAATCTCGTATTGGGCAATGGAATGTACTTGTTTATCGGATCGAATCAAATTTTGGGTGACACTCATATTTTTGCAATTCTCTAAGCAATTCACGTAATCATCGAAAGTAATTTTATTCTTCACCACAGAAGATTTGACACCCTGTGAGTTCTTGGTAACCCCCAAGCATGAGATCATTTGATTAATTTCTTCCTCATCATAGCCATCATTTACCAACTGCTGACGCTTCTTATTGATACTATCCTCCGTCACCAATACCCTAGTTGATCTGGAGTATCCTAAACATCTACATGATTCGCACAAAGACTTGCCTTACTGCCCTGAACATATAAATTCAAAAACGAAAAAAACCCTAAATCGATAAAAGAGCTCACCAAATTGATGGCTACCCTCCAACACAAAGAAAAATATGTGATTCATTGTCGCGCCCTCAAACAAGCCATTGCTAATGGTCTTATCATCACGAAAATTCATCGAGTACTTCAATTCAACCAATTACCATGGTTGAAGTCCTATGTTGATTTGAATACTGAGTTGCGGAAAAGGGCTATGAATGAGTTTGAGAAAAATCTCTTCAAACTAATGAATAATGCAGTATTCGGAAAAACGATGGAAGACATTAGGAAAAAGAGTCAACATTAAAGTCATCACCAAATGGGCTGGTCGCTACGGAGCTGAGGCCTATATTTCCAAGCCTGAATTCAAAAATTGCATGGTATCCAATGAGAATTTGGTAGCAGTCGAACTGAGGAAACTGCAAGTTTATCTAAATAAACCGATGCAAGTAGGACAAGCTATCTTAGATTTGGCAAAGACTACCATATACGATTTTCATTATGGCTATATGCGCCATCGATTCGGAGATAATTGTGTAATTCTCTACACCGATACAGATAGCCTGATTTATGAAATATGCAATCAGGATCCTTATGAAATGATACGTCAAGATTGTCATAAATTCTTTGATACTTCGGATTACCCTTCCAACAATCAGTTTAATGTTCCTTTGGTAAATAAAAAGGTTCTCGGGATGATGAAAGATGAGAATAACGCAGTTCAGATGACTGACTATGTAGGCCTTAGATCGAAATTATATACAACTAGGGTATTGGTGACGGAGGGTAGTATCAATAAGAAGCGTCAGCAGTTGGTAAATGATGGCTATGATGAGG